TTGTTGAACTTCATGAGGTTCATATGGGCCCTGAATATGTCTAATACATTTAAGTATCAGAATGTTGCAGTTTTATGTAATTTTTTTGCAATACTTCAAACAAGGAATATGAACAGACAGTATTCGTTGTTCTCATGGTACGGGAGCAAATAGTGCTGTGCCTTTGTCTTGTAAGACTGGAAGGCAAAGGGATTAGATTCTTTTTCCTGTTGGTTTGTCCAAAGTAGTACATTGTTTCATGCAATGAATACAGCATTTCCCTTCAGCTGGATTAACTGTCAAATGCTTGATATATTTTGCTCTCCCTTGCTGTCACTGGCTCAGTTAGGGGACTGATGAGATGATGTACTTCACCTGGGTAGAACACTTCCATATTCACTACTCATGTTGTGGGGAGGACTTTGATATCGGAAGACTCTGCAGTGCAGATTTACATATGGTTCCATAGGCCTGGGAGTAACTGCCCAGTGATGCTTTTGGATCACCAGCAGCTCCCATATTTGCAGTAATCTGGAACATCTTTTTAGTGGACTTCAGAAAGGGACGAACATCTTTGCTGTAAAACTGAGTATTTCTTGGATTCTGTGTGAGAAAGAAAAGCCAAGATAGTAACCTGTAATCAGTTTTCTAAAATACATATAAGAAATACAGATTTTGCTTCAGCTGAGGAGTAGGACAGATCATGAATGTTGTATGAATAATAAACAAAACAGACTGTTTTGTAAAATCAAGAATAGGATGATGAGAATGATGTGAGGGAGAAGGGCTTAAGAATGGGTGTATCAAGAGTGAACTAGTGGCACGGGAACAAGATATGACAAACTAATCCTGCACTGGAGCATTCCAAAGGCCTGTTTGCCTAGTATGTTGTTTTCAACAGTAGTGAATGCGTTAAATACATGTACAAAAGACAGATCATCATCATCATCATCATCCCTTAATACATCCTCCTGGCTTCTGCCAATCAAATGGCTCGGTGACTTTCTGAGTTGGAAGCTGCATATGGATACTGTGTTTACCAGCCCGGTGGGGAAAAGTTAATAATACCTTAATACATTACAATACGCAATGCATTACAATACATTTGAATCTGCAGTTCGAGAGGAGAGCTGTTGCAGTACAGCTAATGCTTTGTGAACCTCTATAGTTAACTGAAAGGCAAGAGCTTCCACTCGCTATTGTGGCACTGGCTGCTGGCACCCCAGCCATTATAGGAGTCTTTCCGGGTCAAATGGCTGAGAACAAGAGTTTCATGAACCTGACAGGATATTGAAAATGAATGCAGACTGAATGCAGAGTAAACTGGAATGTCAGATCTTTTCAGCTCCTGCTGAGGCTGATTGAGAAAGATGGAAAAGTCAACATTCACTTAACATAAGATTAGCCACAATGCTGATGACCTTCTACCACAATATCCTGTCTCTGACACTAGTCAGTATTAGCCTCCCAGGGAACAAATATTAAAGCACAGGGCATGCGTAGGGTTACCTTCTCCCTATTATGCTCTTCCAGTAACAGAAAGTTGTTCACAATTGCCTAAAGATTCTTCATAATGCATTGCTCATATGTACATCTGCACGCACAGCATTTGTTCCACAATCTCATGTTGTGGAATAAATGGTTCCACACTTGTGGAATAAAATGGTTCCTCCTCTTCCTCTCAAAACATTTTGAGTGGGATTCCAAAGCAGAGGGGCTGAAAGATGGGTTGAAAGTGTGCATGCAGACATACTTCAAAGTTAATGGCAATCATGTCTCCTTTTAGCAGGTATTCATATGTATTTTCCTATCAATCACAACAGTAAGAAGAGATCCAGTAGGAACAAGCTTGACTCTTAACAGTGTCTGCAGCTTTTTTCTAGCTTGAAATGGTTCAGATCATTCAGAGCTGTGTTCAAAGAAGTAAGTTGCTTTAAGGTAAATGTGATATTGCATGCTGACACAAAGTAGGTGATCCCACCCAACTCATCTTTGATAGTGTCCTGTCAGAAGTCTCTTCACACAACTGTGCTTAGCACACATTTTGAATGTTGGAGCTCCATGTGGTGGGTTGACCTTGGCTGGATGCCAGGTGTCCACCAAACCACTCTATCACTCCCCTCCTCAGCAGCACAGAGAGGGGAGAAAAATAAGATGGAAAAACCCCAAACTTGTGGGTCAAGATAGAGGCAGTTTAATAAAGGAAAAGCAAAAGGCTGCGCAGGGAAGCAAAGGAAAAAACCGAAAAGATTTATTCTCTACTTCCCATCAGTAGGCGATGGCTGGCCACTTCCTGGGAAGCAGGACTTCAGTACGTGCAGCAGTTGCTCCGGAAGATGAATGTAAATAATGAATGCTCCCCCTTTCTCCTCCTTTCTCTCGGCTTTTTATTGCTAAGCAGATATCATATAGTATGGAATATCCCTTCGGTCAGTTTGGGTCAGCTGTCCTGGCTATATCCCCTCCCAAGGTATTGCCCACTCCCAGCCTACTGGTGAGGGGAGGAATGTTGGAGAGACAGCCTTGATGCTGTGTGAGCACTGCTCAGAAGTAGCCAAAACACTGGTGTGTTGTCAGCACCTTGCTAGCTACCAATACAAAGCACAGCACTATGAGGGCTGCTATGGGGAAAATTAACTCCATCTCAGCCAGACCCAATACACTCCAGCACATAGACACTCAAATATTCTTTTGTGGGGATGTAAGAAAGTCCCACGACAAACAAGTCAATCTTCAGTGCCACCTAAAATGTAATCTGTGGTGCCTCCTTCCACATTCTTCCTCTGCCATAAGCCTCCTCTGATCACCTTGTATTGGCTAGACTCTCCTTGAGCTAGTCAGTGGACAACTACCTTGGGAAAAAGAAAAAGCAGGGGCAAGGTGGTCATTTAAGAACCAGATGAGGATAAGAACTTTTACAAGGAAGCATGGCCAAGAAGAGGAAAGAGAGAGGAGCAGAGAAGAGAGGACCGAAACCTTCACTGTTCAGCAACAGCAATCCACTAGGTTGGTTCCAGAGGTAGTGTGAATTCTCCAGTTAAGTTTGGAATATCCAACAGTCTCAATTTGTTTAAAAAAGAATTTGCTACCTACACACTTTGGATAGGACAAGCCAGCAGTGGTAATAATGTAAAAGCAACTGATCTGTGATACTGAAAGTCAAAGGGAGGTTTTGGTGCTGCTGACAATCTGAACAATGCGATGATCTGAAATGGTGTTCAAATCCTCACTTGTCTGAAGTGATAAAATTTCAGGTAGAATGGAGTCCAAAATTACCCTGTCCTCTAGGAAAAGGGCAGTGGAAAAAAAGTAATGTATCTCAGCACATCTCAAAAGATGTTGCATTAAAAACGCAACATGGGAAAAAGAAGTAGAGGCAGAGAAACTGCAGAGATTTTTTTACTTCTCTTTTTTATTACAGTTAGCTGACATATATGATCCATTACAATTAATCTTTGTGAAAACAATATTGCTAATGAGACAGACACTTAGATTTACAAAAGGTCTGTGCTACTTCATGTTCTCTGAAGTACCTAATTCCTGTACTCAAATTCAACAGTCATTCACAGAACTCCTGCATAAACCTATAGGCACCAAAATACTCTTGCTGCTCAAGTCACAGGTAATAGGGTTTTCTGAAAGACTGGGATTAGACTTAAAACTCCAGGAGAAAGTCTTTATAAACCCAGACTAGCTGAAGACCAGCATTGCCAGACATATAAGATTTCAGTCACATCTGTGCCCTTAGCATTTCCTGGTGATTACTATAGATGGACTTCCTCTCAACACTCTGCCTCATGCAGAGAACTTAACTCAGGATCGTAAACTTCATTAGAAGACAAAACAGGTGAAATGTAGGTATTGCAATGCTGAAGACTGCAATATGCAAGTTCCTATATAAATCTACCCTATATTAGAGGCACGTAACGTCTAGTTATTTCCCCTACTAGCAGAAACTCTTCAGTTAGCACACTCTTCAGCACCCTATAAAGGGAACATACTCTGTACAAGCCCAATTGCCTTATCAAACTAGGTTACTGGTACCATTTGAGTGATACTACATACAAGCAATGAAATTGCAGCGTATGTCTTTGTCGTAAGTAATTTTAACTGATAAAAATGTATTAATTTAGTCACTCTCAGAGCAGTATGTCTTGCCTCTCATTTAAATATTGTTACAAGGTTGCAAATTAAGATAATTTGTGTCTATATAATTTTGGTCCATGAAAAATTAAGGGTGGTGGTTTTTTTGGGTAGGATTGCTACTCACATTATAAAGGTTCTGTACACTTGTAGGAGGTAGCCGAGCATTTGCATTTGCCCATGTGATTTGTCTCCCCTGTTTCCTATCATTGGAGATTCTGGCCTGTTGAGAAGGTTGTGCAGAACAGTACCTCATCACAGCACCAGAATTTGCATTACCTGCAGAAGAAAAAACATGAGAGAAATTAGGAAAATCATGAGGACGCAGAACCCACTGAGGCAGGGACAGAACATAAAAACTTGAGTCAGCCCCTGCCACCTTGCTTCATCTCACAAACAGAAAAAAATATTCAGAATAAAATTAGAATGTAGCAAACAAAACCAGTTCAAAAGGGCATCGGAAAAGATAACGGCAGTAGAGAAGCAAAGAGAAAACAGAAATGAACATAGAGTCAAGACTGAGGCAGGAAAAAGCCAAAGAGAATGTCACACTCAAAACTCACTCAACAGTGTTTTGTTCTTATGTCATTTTCCTCCCACACATGTAAATTCCTCTTATTTCTTTTTCCCCACTCAATATCTTTTCTTCTTTCATCCCCATAGTAATGCCTCATGGTGGATTACATCCCATTGTAGGAGGGTAGTACCTACTTTGAATAGCAGTGTGTGTTATAGGATTGTATATCACATTGATCTTTGATCTCTGACATAAAGTTCTTGCTAAATATTCACTCTGGCTGGATACTTCTGGCTGGACGCTGGTTGTGGTTCCAGCAAGCATATGCGAACTTTTTAGAAGAGGCGGTGTTGGTTCTCTCTCTCCTTTCCTGATAGGTAAAGTCACAGAGCTGGAATTTGGAAGAAGCGGCCTGGATTCAGACTGACTTAGTTGAATGTTTTCTCTCTGCACTTGCTCCTTTGGATGTCTATTTAATTTCTTTTCAAGGATCATCTACAGAAAGGAGAAGTTGGTTAGCCTTAACACAGCTACACAGCAGAGCAGAGGAACAAAACATAAAAACAAAGAGAAAGACTTACAAATAACTGCAATTTATTTCACAGGATAGGTAACAAGTATAATTTTAAAATTGATTTAGGGCTGGATAGAAGATAGAAATAATATTCTCAGTGGAAAGAAAGAATAGGCTGAAGCATTAAGAAAAAGGATTGGGTGAACAGGCAATTTCTATATATCCTGAGGGAGACCACCACTAAATAAAATGGGCATTAGCCTTGGAAAAGACAGAATCTATATGCCCAAAAGGTTAACACTATCTTGTTTCTTACCATCCCTTTCTAGAACTTTGCAAAGCTGATTTTGTAATGGTCAAAACAACATTCATTCCGCTTAGTTCATAATTATTTCTCACCTACCTCTACAGGCTGTTATTTAGCAACAGAATCCTTGCCAAGGTTTTAGGCCTTGGTGCAGACAATCTGCTCTCAACTTCCTGTAATCACAGTTGTCCCATATTTGACACTCTATCAGTAAGATTATTTAAAACTATTCACTTGGTTCTTAGCCTTGTACCTAGGTTATCTGTGACCAATCTATTGATATTTAGAATATCTTTTCTACTTGTGCTCAGTCTTCACTTTACTAATTCATCTGCTCATGACTCCTAACACTCTATCACAGTAGAGTTGATTAATTTTCTTCTGTTAAAGACCTTTAAAGAAATTTTAAGTAGTTTCAACTTTTTAAGTTCAATTTTAGTTTTTCTTTCTTCAATTTTAATTGCTGTTGATGGAAGCAATAATACTTTTCCTCTCTCTCTGGGAAGGTGACACCTTTATCAGTCTTTCTCAGTCTTGGATTTTCTGATCTCTAAGCTTCCTTTTTAATCTTCTCTTCCTACTATCATTCTTCCAATGCCTGTTTTTCTATATTTACATTCCAACTCCTGCTCTTATCACCATCTTCCAGTTCCTTTGCCTCATAACATGGCATCTACATAATTTCTTTCACTGTAAAAAGGGAAAAGAGAACCCCCAAAACTAAGCCAAAATGAATTTCTCCTCCTGAAGGCTTGATTTACTTCCATTTTTGCTGCTCCTCATATTTCATTGCTAGAACATTCACTCCAGCTATTCTCCCTCTACTGCCTCAACACTACCATCCAGATCAGTTCAGTGTCTCTTATAATTACTTCTGATTTATGTTTATCTTTATTCTTCTTTCACTTTGTTAGACATTACTGAAATGTCTAAAGAATTGGACATTTCTGTGTTCATAGAATCATAGAATGGTTTGCATTGGAAGGGACCTTCAGACATCATCCAGTCCAACCCTCAGGCCATGGGCA